ACTTTAGTGTGACTTCAGACCATCTCCACCTCCTACCACACACTAGGTTACACTATATACTTTAGTGTGACTTCAGACCATCTCCACCTCCTACCACACACTAGGTTACACTATATACTTTAGTGTGACTTCAGACCATCTCCACCTCCTACCACACACTAGGTTACACTATATACTTTAGTGTGACTTCAGACAATTTCCACCTCCTACCACACACTAGGTTACACTATATACTTTAGTGTGACTTCAGACAACCTCCACCTCCTACCACACACTAGGTTACACTATATACTTTAGTGTGACTTCAGACCATCTACACCTCCTACCACACACTAGGTTACACTATATACTTTAGTGTGACTTCAGACCATCTCCACCTCCTACCACACACTAGGTTACACTATATACTTTAGTGTGACTTCAGACCATCTCCACCTCCTACCACACACTAGGTTACACTATATACTTTAGTCTGACTTCAGACCATCTCCCCCTCCTACCACACACTAGGTTACACTATATACTTTACTGTGACTTTAGACCATGTCCACCTCCTACCACACACTAGGTTACACTGTATACTTTAGTGTGACTTCAGACCATCTCCACCTCCTACCACACACTAGGTTACACTATATACTTTAGTGTGACTTCAGACCATCTCCACCTCCTACCACACACTAGGTTACACTGTATACTTTAGTGTGACTTCAGACCATCTCCACCTCCTACCACACACTAGGTTACACTATATACTTTAGTGTGACTTCAGACCATCTCCACCTCCTACCACACACTAGGTTACACTATATACTTTAGTGTGACTTCAGACCATCTCCACCTCCTACCACACACTAGGTTACACTATATACTTTAGTGTGACTTCAGACCATCTCCACCTCCTACCACACACTAGGTTACACTATATACTTTAGTGTGACTTCAGACCATCTCCACCTCCTACCACACACTAGGTTACACTATATACTTTAGTGTGACTTCAGACCATCTCCACCTCCTACCACACACTAGGTTACACTATATACTTTAGTGTGACTTCAGACCATCTCCACCTCCTACCACACACTAGGTTACACTATATACTTTAGTGTGACTTCAGACCATCTCCACCTCCTACCACACACTAGGTTACACTATATACTTTAGTGTGACTTCAGACCATCTCCACCTCCTACCACACACTAGGTTACACTATATACTTTAGTGTGACTTCAGACCATCTCCACCTCCTACCACACACTAGGTTACACTATATACTTTAGTGTGACTTCAGACCATCTCCACCTCCTACCACACACTAGGTTACACTGTATACTTTAGTGTGACTTCAGACCATCTCCACCTCCTACCACACACTAGGTTACAAAATATACTTTAGTGTGACTTCCGACCATCTCCACCTCCTACCACACACTAGGTTACACTGTATACTTTAGTGTGACTTCAGACCATCTCCACCTCCTACCACACACTAGGTTACACTATATACTTTAGTGTGACTTCAGACCATCTCCACCTCCTACCACACACTAGGTTACACTATATACTTTAGTGTGACTTCAGACCATCTCCACCTCCTACCACACACTAGGTTACACTATGTACTTTAGTGTGACTTCAGCCAATTTCCACCTGTACCAAACACTAGGTTACACTATATACTTTAGTGTGACTTCAGACCATCTCCACCTCCTACCACACACTAGGTTACACTATATACTTTACTGTGACTTCAGACCATGTCCACCTCCTACCACACACTAGGTTACACTATATACTTTAGTTTGACATCAGACCATCTCCACCTCCTAGCAAATCAAGACCGTATATCATTAAATTTACTGCCAGTCTTGTATTTTTTGTACAGGTGTGTTTTATTGTCTTAATGTTGTATTTCTTATATATTGTTGCTGTTGTTTTGATTAAAATGTGCAAATATTTCATGTAAATGGTTTTACTTTGTGGTTAGAATGTTTTATCATATGTCAATACATCTTCTTCGTAGCTATATTTGTATGCATGTCTGTGTGTAAATTTCTAATTATTTACTCCTAATGTGTGATTGTGATTTATGAATGAGTGGATGAGAAAAGAGAAAATAGGATGAAATTAACATAAATTAATGAAAGAATTGAAAGATACCTCCTCCGAGAGGGTCCATGATGTGAGAGGGAATAAAGAAGGGGTCCAACCTTGACATCCCTCCAAATTATTGTTGCTGGGAAAGAAACAAAAAAAAATGGCACCTGGAAAAAATGGTGATTGATGCAAGATCATTTGAATCACTTGTAAAAAAGATGAAATCCAAATGATCCGTCATCCTTAATCAAAGTGGTACATCATCCTTAATCAAAGTGGTACATCATCCTTAATCCAAGTGATCTATCATCCTTAATCCAAATGATCCATCATCCCTAATCCAAATGATCCGTCATCCTTAATCCAAGTGATCTATCATCCTTAATCCAAGTGACCTATCATCCTTAATTCAAATGATCCATCATCCTTAATCCAAATGATTCGTCATCCTTAATCAAAGTGGTACATCATCCTTAATCCAAGTGATCCATCATCCTTAATCAAATTGGTACTTCATCCTTAATCCAAGTGATCCGTCATCCTTAATCAAATTGGTACTTCATCCTTAATCCAAGTGATCCGTCATCCTTAATCAAATTGTTACTTCATCCTTAATCCAAGTGATCCATCATCCTTAATCAAATTGGTATATCATCCTTAATCCATGTGATCCATCATCCTTAATCCAAGTGATATATCATCCTTAATCCAAATGATCTATCATCCTTAATCTAAATGATCCATCATCCCTAATCCATGTGATATATCATCCTTAATCAAAGTGGTACATCATCCTTAATCCAAGTGATCCATCATCCAAAAAATCATATCAGCGTATAATTAGTAATAAGCAATAGAAACAAAAGGCAAGTACTATAAAAAAATCCACCTTTAATTTTGTGTCTGTTACTCGGTGACACTATAGGTTACCAATACAATGCCACAGGCAATATTTATGCTATAGAAACTTGTAAGTCTCCTGAATACAATAATTATATCTGATCCATAATTGAAAAGAACTTTTTTTCGACACAATGATCTTATAGTATACCAGAAATTAAAACTTCAAAACTAGGCAATAACGCACGATAATAATAAGTCCAACACCGGATACAGAAAAAGACCTCCATAATGACTGATGTTCTATTCTGTCAGGGAACATAATAACCTGTTAAACTTGACAGAGTAAATCGGTATTTTGTATATTAATCAATTGATCGTCTTTGTGTGGTCTTTGTACATAGCACCAGTTACTTAATTAGGTGTAGGATTCCTCCAAGATATAAAATGTTTCTCGTTACTTTCCTAGAATCCAATCACTAGAATGGAGAAAACCACATGGCGTGTTTAAGTTGTTCACACCCGCTCCCCTTTCTCCCACCTGCCTGGTGACGTATGGACAACGTTTGGTCTTTTAATTGATCCTATTAATCATCTCTTTGACATGGACCTGCTTTAATGGAGCTCCTGATTAGTTCTCTATTTCTATTCATTAGATTTAGTGCGACAAATCATACATCATTCACGCCTGAAACATCATTTCTATCGTGTTTTAATTATTCAGTGAAGAGCAATCTGTACTGTTGAAACCCAAATATGAACAAAATATCGATGGATGCTGATATAGTCATCAGTGCCTCGCCAGGTACACAGAACACTCAGCAGCTAGATTAAAAGGAAAGTATTAATATGATGGCGTAACTCTGAAAACAGCTTGTTGATAATGTAAGAAATCAATATGTGATGAAAGTATTTATTTTATTATTATTTACTCAAAGTGATACATATAACATGGCAGCTGGAAACTTCTATCTATCTATGGTTTCTTTGATCGTGCTTGTCTGCCTACCAGACACAACCCTCTGTGGTTTCTTTAATCGTCCTTGTCTACCTACCAGACACAACCCTCTGTGGTTTCTTTGATAGTGCTTGTCTGCCTACCAGACACAACCCTCTGTGGTTTCTTTGATCGTGTTTGTCTGCCTACCAGACACAACCCTCTGTGGTTTTCGTTATCGTGTTTTTCTGCTTACCTGAACTACGCCTCTTTGGAATTTTTTTTTATTGTTTTTCAACCTATTTGAAATTACCTTCTGTGGGTCTTTAATTGAGCGTGTCTGCCCAAAATAATCCTCTTTGGTTCCTTTGATCGTGTTTTCTCGCCTACAAGAAATACCACTCTGTTGTATCTTTGGTCATCTTTTGCCTTCCTGACTGAACTACTCTTCTGGGTTTTATTTATCGTGTTTTGTCTGCCTTCCCCACTACCCCTAGTGGTTTCTTTGATCGTGTTTTGTCTACCTACCTTACTTACTCCCTTGTGGTTTCTTTGATCGTGTTTTGTCTACCTACCTTACTTACTCCCCTGCGGTTTCTTTGATTGTGTTTTGTCTACCTACCTTACTTACTCCCCTGTGGTTTCTTTGATCGTGTTTTGTCTACATACCTTATTTACTCCCTTGTGGTTTCTTTGATCGTGTTTTGTCTACATACCTTATCTACTCCCGTGCGGTTTCTTTGATCGTGTTTTGTCTACCTACCTTACTTACTCCCCTGTGGTTTCTTTGATCGTGTTTTGTCTACATACCTTACTTACTCCCCTGTGGTTTCTTTGATCGTGTTTTGTCTACCTACCTTACTTACTCCCCTGCGGTTTCTTTGATCGTGTTTTGTCTACATACTTTATTTACTCCTCTGCGGTTTCTTTGATCGTGTTGTCTAACTACCATACTTACTCCCCTGTGGTTTCTTTGATCGTGTTTTGTCTACATACCTTATTTACTCCCCTGCGGTTTCTTTGATCGTGTTTTGTCTACATACCTTATTTACTCCCCTGCGGTTTCTTTGATCGTGTTTTGTTTACCTACCTTAGCTTCCCCTTTGTGATCTCCCTTTTGTAGTTGATTGTGTCCTGCTGGAATGACAACCAGAATGATCGTCCAAAGTTTGATTTCATAAAGAAGCTGCTACATAAGATGAATCCAAATAAGCTGAACCCCGTGGATTTGATGATGAATATGGTATGTTATCCAATGTGATGATATAGATTATTTACATGTTTCTAATTGTGATTTTGTAAATTTATTATGTTACTGATGTATAGTCATTTCTTTCCTGTTTACCTGGGTTTTTTAGGGGGCGGGTGGAGAGAAAGTAGTAAACCTTTTTCGACTAACTTTGTCCGGCGTCCGTCATTGTGCGTCGTGTGTTGTGAGTCCGTATTCAATTTAACATTTTTGACTTCTGAAAACCCCCTTAACCATTTTTAGAAAAATAGCAGAAGCCTTCCCTGGCCGAAGATGAAGCAAACGTACTTAACCATGCGGTTCCCATCACACAGGGGCCTGAAGGGTCGGATTATTTTTTTTTTAAGTCTTCGACTCAATACCCAGATAATGTAGAATCAAAAGCTCTTCATGGATAGAAGCATCTTAATATCTCCCTGTGGCGGGGGGGGGGGGGGGTAATGTTTAATGTAGTCTATATAGAAAAAAATGGAATTTGTTTACTTTTTTCAAACTTGGTTGGAATTATGAGGGAAGGATGACGGCTTGAAAGTATGCCCATATTGATTGTGGCTGACCTCCAAGGCCCCCATCAAATTGGCTCTTCTTAGATGGAAGCGTCTTAAGGTGCTTTACAACAATTGTTCCTGGGATGGAGGTTAACTGTACTATAATTTTATATATATATATATATATGTGTGTTTTTGAGCATAATGTTGTTTATTTCTTACTGGAAATAACTTTGTAAGAATTATTAGTTCAGGATAACAGTTTTGATGGTATGCATGTATTGACTGGCTTACTGTCATCAATGTCTAACAATTTCTTTTTCATGCCACTTGAAAGATACTTACTCCTTGGGTTTTTTTCGTCTTTTATTGTAGTAAAACAAGTTAACAGGTTTCGATTGTTGTATTACCTTGTTGTTAAGGCTTATCAACTAGCACGATATTCTACTTAGAGAGTATATACGTTAAATGTAGATGGAGAAATATTCTACCCATTTGGAATCCTTGGTGACAGACCGGACGAAGGAACTCATACTGGAGAAACAAAAGACTGACCGTTTACTATACAGTAAGTGGCCTCTCGGTGATCATTCTACTTAACATTGACGGAATGTGGAGTTCTATCTAAAACAATAGAAACAGGGCATCGCATTGGGCAGATGATATTTTCATAGTTCTAAGCGCTTTGTTATCATCGACCTACCTGGAACATCATCAATCATCTGGACGATTCTTGTTAATTTTTCTGGGAAAAACTAAATAGTCGACGAAATAGATCTTTTACAAGGTCAAAGTAGCTTTACATTTGTCAAAATGGCTTTTAGACTGCCGTTTTGAATATTCAGTGTTGAAACTCGTTATTATCATAACAGAAAAATGGGGGTAGATAATATTGAATTTCACAAACAAGTTTCATTTGGCCCTTCTTTGGGAGTGGTTAGACATTACCTTTATTATATTTTGAGAAGATCATAAAAAGACCTTTATCAGACTTTTTTGGTCCCTGTTTTCGTTTGAACTAAGTGCGTGTTACATATTCCGTTGTCACTAGACATGCTACCGAAGTCGGTAGCAGATGAACTTCGCCATGGCCGTCCGGTTGAGGCAGAAACATACGACATCTGCACCATCTTCTTCAGTGATATAGTCGGCTTCACGAGTCTCAGTAGCGGTAGTACACCAATGCAGGTGGTGGCTCTACTCAACAAACTTTACATCACCTTCGACGAAATCATAGAAAAGTTCTTGGTTTATAAAGTAGAAACAATCGGCGATGCATGTAAGTACCTCTGGTGAAAAAGTAATATAAGCTGTGTTATTGTTTGATCAGAACACAATAGGAATGTGAATTATAATTTTAAACACTGTGAGGTAATTTTAACGTTTTAATAAATATTCTGAATTATTATTGTTATAACACTGGGGAAAGAAAAAAATAATAAGGATAATTATAGTCCCCATTCTAAGAACTGGTATTGTTCGATCAAAACACAATAGGATCTACCTCGAATCAAAAGGTAATACAAACGACGACAGAAAAAAGGAGATACATATTTCCATCCTCCTAATAAGAACAATTATAGATGACGACGATTAATATTTTACAGAAGAATGGTTCTATCATGCTTTATTTGACATTATTTTGTTCCGTAAAATACTGTTATACTTAACCTAAATGTTTTTGTGTCGTTCCAAATGTACGTTAACAGCAAATAAAACAAGAACTAGAGTGTTACAGTATTTTTTTTTTATATTGAAGTTTGCATTACGTAGATAACCGCGGACATTCTGACATAACGTACGCCTCAAGTTTAGCAGTTTACGCCAAAGTAGTGTAACGTAGCGAAATGTATTAATCAACTATATATTGATATCACATATCATTGATTACAATGTTATACTGAGATGTATTGACGTACCTTAATGTATATATACAACCTCCTAGAAATATTCCCTTCTCTCAATATTATCTGTTATTAGTTTTATCACTTATAACCTACTTCGCTGTACCTTGTACAATAATTTCATAAGGCTCTGTTAACATAGGAAAACTACTTTCTATGACGATTTGGTAAATCAATAGCGCTGAAGGAACCAATAATTCATTGACAATGGTATGTTTTGAAGTGTAAAGGACTGTTTTCAGATATGGTTGTTTCTGGTGTACCAAACCCAACTGAAAACCATGCTTCTGAGATAGCTAAGATGGCTCTTGAACTTGTGGAGGAGAGCAAGATATTTACGATACCACATAGGAAGGGAGAAAATCTTAAAATTCGTGTTGGACTCCATTCGGGTATGTAACGGTCACAAGTCTCTATTGTGTTTGACGTTAATTGATATGATGACTAATTTGAGTAATTTTCTACCTTGTTTCTCTTATTATATTTCATTGTCTATGCCCTTATCATCACTAACGAGTCCTCGACGGATGAAACAGATGTATGATAATATGTAATTCGTTGATTAGCCATATTGCATATTATTCTAAATTGTTAATTTGTAAAATTGTAAATTACGGTCTTGTAGGTTTCATGTTTGAATTGGATTGCTGAATCTTGTTTAAAGATAGTATTAAACAACAATTATGTCCGCCAAAAAATCAGGAGTGGTTTGTAACAGTAGATTTTACAGAAACTAGTAAATAATCTGTCAATTTCACTTTAAATGCATCATATGAGGCGACTAATGTGGCATCTCTGAAGGGTGAACACTTTTGAATTAATATATTGAACTTACAAAATACCTTGAGGCTAGATTGTTAAAATACCACTCTTCTACTAAAATTTCTTTACAGGTGCTTAAGTTGTTCTGTAAAATAATTACTCTGGTTCATTATTGATTCTTTAGATTTATTACTCCACTTGTTCATGACTGGTTCTGTACAGTTATTTATCTTCAGGTTCATAAATAAATCTGTATAGTATGTTATCAACTGGTTCATGAATGATTTAGCAAAGTGTTTTATAAACTGGTGTATAAATAGTTTTGTACAGTAATTTATTCATTGGTTAATGAATGGTTCGGTACATTACTTTATCCACTGATTCATAAGTACTGCTGAACAATGAATTATCAACTGGTTCATGACTGGTTCTGGAGTTATTTTATACACCTGGTTTATCAATGGTTCTGTTCAGTTATTTATCATGTGGTTCATGAATGTATTGATCAATCCACTGGTTCACGAATAGTTATGTACAGTTATTTATCATCCGATTCATGAATAGTTCAATAGATCAGCACAGTTACGTATTTATTAGCTCATGAATGGTTCTGTACAGTTATTGATGTACTGGTTCATGAATGGTTCTGTACAGTTATTAATATACTGGCTCATGAATGGTTCTGAACAGTTATTGATGTACTGGTTCATGAATGGTTCTGTACAGTTATTAATATACTGGCTCATGAATGGTTCTGTACAGTTATTAATATACTGGCTCATGAATGGTTCTGTACAGTTATTAATATTCTGGCTCATGGATGGTTCTGTACAGTTATTGATATACTGGTTCATGAATGGATCTGTACAGTTATTAATATTCTGGCCCATGAATGGTTCTGTACAGTTATTAATATACTGGCTCATGAATGGTTCTGTACAGTTATTAATATACTGGCTCATGAATGGATCTGTACAGTTATTAATATACTGGCTCATGAATGGTTCTGTACAGTTATTGATATACTGGCTCATGAATGGTTCTGTACAGTTATTAATATACTGGCTCATGAATGGTTCTGTACAGTTATTGATGTACTGGTTCATGAATGGATCTGTACAGTTATTAATATTCTGGCTCATGAATGGTTCTGTACAGTTATTAATATACTGGCTCATGAATGGATCTGTACAGTTATTAATATTCTAGCTCATGAATGGTTCTGTACAGTTATTAATATACTGGCTCATGAATGGTTCTGCAGTTATTAATATTCTGACTCATGAATGGTTCTGTACAGTTATTAATATACTGGCTCATGAATGGTTCTGTCAGTTATTAATATTCTGACTCATGAATGGTTCTGTACAGTTATTAATATACTGGCTCATGAATGGTTCTGTACAGTTATTAATATACTGGCTCATGAATGGTTCTGTACAGTTATTAATATTCTGGTTCATGAATGGTTCTGTACAGTTATTGATATACTGGTTCATGAATGGTTCTGGACAGTTATTAATATTCTGACTCATGAATGGTTCTGTACAGTTATTGATATACTGGCTCATGAATGGTTCTGTACAGTTATTAATATTCTGGTTCATGAATGGTTCTGTACAGTTATTAATATTCTGGTTCATGAATGGTTCTGTACAGTTATTAATATACTGGTTCATGAATGGTTCTGGACAGTTATTAATATTCTGACTCATGAATGGTTCTGTACAGTTATTGATATACTGGTTCATGAATGGTTCTGCACAGTTATTAATATACTGGTTCATGAATGGTTCTGTACAGTTATTAATATACTGGTTCATGAATGGTTCTGTACAGTTATTAATATACTGGTTCATGAATGGTTCTGTACAGTTATTAATATACTGGCTCATGAATGGATCTGTACAGTTATTAATATTCTAGCTCATGAATGGTTCTGTACAGTTATTAATATACTGGCTCATGAATGGTTCTGCAGTTATTAATATTCTGACTCATGAATGGTTCTGTACAGTTATTAATATACTGGCTCATGAATGGTTCTGTCAGTTATTAATATTCTGACTCATGAATGGTTCTGTACAGTTATTAATATACTGGCTCATGAATGGTTCTGTACAGTTATTAATATACTGGCTCATGAATGGTTCTGTACAGTTATTAATATTCTGGTTCATGAATGGTTCTGTACAGTTATTAATATACTGGTTCATGAATGGTTCTGGACAGTTATTGATATACTGGCTCATGAATGGTTCTGTACAGTTATTAATATACTGGTTCATGAATGGTTCTGTACAGTTATTAATATTCTGGTTCATGAATGGTTCTGTACAGTTATTAATATACTGGTTCATGAATGGTTCTGGACAGTTATTAATATTCTGACTCATGAATGGTTCTGTACAGTTATTGATATACTGGTTCATGAATGGTTCTGTACAGTTATTAATATACTGGTTCATGAATGGTTCTGTACAGTTATTAATATACTGGTTCATGAATGGTTCTGTACAGTTATTAATATACTGGTTCATGAATGGCTCTGTACAGTTATTAATATACTGGCTCATGAATGGTTACGTAGAGTAATTCATCGTCTGGTTCATGAAAGGTCAAGTAGAGTATTTTGTCCACTGGTTCATACATTGTTCTGTAAGGCAATTTATCCACTGGTTCATAATTGTTCTATTTAGAAATCATCCACTGTTGCTCGAATGGTTCTGTACAATGAATTATCAGCTGTTTCATGAACAGTTCTGTACAGTAATTCATTCACTGGTTCATGGTTGGTTCCCTATAGTAGGTTATCCATCGGTTCAAAAATTGTTCTGTACTTTAATTTATCAACTGGTTTAAAAAATGTTCTGTAGAGCAAATTATCCACTCGTTCATAATTTAACAGGTCATGTATGTGCTGGGGTGGTTGGACTGAAGATGCCCCGTTATTGTTTGTTTGGAGACACTGTAAACACTGCCTCGAGGATGGAGTCCAACGGTGAAGGTGGGTTACACAATGTCTGCATTGAAGTATTGATGTTCCAAATGATCCTTGCTTCTGATCACGTATAACTCAACAACTTACATACATGACGTAATATATAATGACCAAGCTTCTGACCACGTATAACTCAACAACTTATATATATGACGTAATATATAATAACCCAAGCTTCTGACCACGTATAACTCAACAACTTATATACATGACGTAATATATAATGACCCAAGCTTCTGACCACGTATAACTCAACAACTTATATACATGACGTAATATATAATAACCCAAGCTTCTGACCACGTATAACTCAACAACTTATATATATGACGTAGATTAATTACCCATCTCTAACATTAGCATGATGTGACTCCTGTAGAGCCCCTTTAGAATCGGGTTTTGTTTTGTTTTGAATATAACTCTAAATTAGTGATTTACATGTTTAACTATTACAGCTTATCGAATCCATATCAGCGATTCTACACACACGGAACTTGCTCTGTACGACGAATTCGTGTTCGAGGAGAGAGGCGCGATCCCTATAAAGGCAAGAACATCTGTACATGTATATATACTGTCACAGTCTTTACGTCAAACACATGTTTAATTGTAAATACTTGTACATTAAACATTAAAAATAACATTGGTAATAGAGTAGACTTTATGCCACCGAATAATTATCTTAGAAAAAAATTTCTTTTTTTACAGCTTGTTCTGGTTTATAAACTTCGTTTGGAATAAGAAAGAGAAAACACTGTACAAAAATAGTATCACTGAAATAACGCCACTAGATCAGTAGTGTAATGTTAACATAGACATAAAACGTGGAAACGTTGTATCTGAATAGTATAACTGGAGATAATAATGCGGATAGGTCGGTACTGTGAAAACATGTACTTCGTGGAGCTTTATTTTCGTGGTTATCAAAACAATCACTATTTTGTAAACACTTGATTTTACGGTCAATAGATAAAAGATTATTTTTTCGTGGATATGCAATAATACACGATTTAAGTACTTATGAAAGTTGAAAGAAATGTCCAATTTTTAAATGATTTCAATACAAATAGAACGCTGTTACACACATATCCCAGATTTGTTATAGTATAATAAGCCCTATAGTAATATATAGTTTTGTATAAATAGAGGTTATAAAACAATAGTCCATGGTTTATCGATTGTATGAAGCAATATAGATATGTAAATATCATGTAAACAGGAAATGTCATCAAATAAATCCACAGTATCTTTGTCTACGTGAGAAATCAATTCCCGGAAATGTAGCTTCTCTACAGCCATTATACATTATATAATTTGTACGTAATTATATCATGTACACGTGCGTCACCAAGATGTACGTGCTTTACGGTGTTATCTCTATTCACAGGTTCGTACGATACGTATACGTTTGTTGTCACTATGATCTTTTATGTATCTATTTTATTTTGAAGGGGAAAGGCGAAATGAAAACATGGTGGCTACTCAGTGCTGGAAAGACCAAGAAAAATGACAACATCGTCACGATTGCTGACGACACAAATATTCTTATAGAGGATTTTGTCGCTGAGAACGAAAAGAGGATGAACGATATCGATCAAAACTGTGTTGACAACAAAACTGGAAAACAAAACGGAAACGTGGACGGATGTATCAGCCTTTTAAAAAATCTCAATAATAAATTAGGGATGGATTCACAGTCAGAACAGAAAGGCGTCAGGTTTCAGTAGTGTGCAGCATCATGTGGAAAAGCTATTGTAATCATTGGACAACATTGTATAAAAAAGATTATAGTAATAAACCGTATCATGTGAAAAATTTTCAATCATGTAGAGTACTGTATGGAAACAACATAGAAAGAAGGGATAGATCTAAACAGTGTACAGTACTGTATGGAAACAACATAGAAAGAAGGGATAGATCTAAACAGTGTACAGTACTGTATGGAAACAACATAGAAAGAAGGGAATCTCAACAGTGTACAGTACTGTATGGAAACAACATAGAAAGAAGGGAATCTCAACAGTGTACAGTACTGTATGGAAACAACATAGAAAGAAGGGATAGATCTAAACAGTGTACAGTACTGTATGGAAACAACATAGAAAGAAGGGAATCTCAACAGTGTACAGTACTGAATGGAAACAACATAGAAAGAAGGGATAGATCTCAACAGTGTACAGTACTGTATGGAAACAACATAGAAAGAAGGGATAGATCTAAACAGTGTACAGTACTGTATGGAAACAACATAGAAAGAAGGGAATCTCAACAGTGTACAGTACTGTATGGAAACAACATAGAAAGAAGGGATAGATCTAAACAGTGTACAGTACTGTATGGAAACAACATAGAAAGAAGGGATAGATCTAAACAGTGTACAGTACTGTATGGAAACAACATAGAAAGAAGGGAATCTCAACAGTGTACAGTACTGTATGGAAACAACATAGAAAGAAGGGATAGATCTCAACAGTGTACAGTACTGTATGGAAACAACATAGAAAGAAGGGATAGATCTAAACAGTGTACAGTACTGTATGGAAACAACATAGAAAGAAGGGAATCTCAACAGTGTACAGTACTGTATGGAAACAACATAGAAAGAAGGGATAGATCTAAACAGTGTACAGTACTGTATGGAAACAACATAGAAAGAAGGGATAGATCTAAACAGTGTACAGTACTGTATGGAAACAACATAGAAAGAAGGGAATCTCAACAGTGTACAGTACTGTATGGAAACAACATAGAAAGAAGGGAATCTCAACAGTGTACAGTACTGTATGGAAACAATATAGAAAGAAGGGATAGATCTAAACAGTGTACAGTACTGTATGGAAACAACATAGAAAGAAGGGATAGATCTAAACAGTGTACAGTACTGTATGGAAACAACATAGAAAAAATGGATAGATCTAAACAGTGTACAGTACTGTATGGAAACAACATAGAAAGAAGGGAATCTCAACAGTGTACAGTACTGTATGGAAACAACATAGAAAGAAGGGATAGATCTAAACAGTGTACAGTACTGTATGGAAACAACATAGAAAGAAGGGAATCTCAACAGTGTACAGTACTGAATGGAAACAACATAGAAAGAAGGGATAGATCTAAACAGTGTACAGTACTGTATGGAAACAACATAGAAAGAAGGGATAGATCTAAACAGTGTACAGTACTGTATGGAAACAACATAGAAAGAAGGGATAGATCTAAACAGTGTACAGTACTGTATGGAAACAACATAGAAAGAAGGGATAGATCTAAACAGTGTACAGTACTGTATGGAAACAACATAGAAAGAAGGGATAGATCTAAACAGTGTACAGTACTGTATGGAAACAACATAGAAAAAATGGATAGATCTAAACAGTGTACAGTACTGTATGGAAACAACATAGAAAGAAGGGAATCTCAACAGTGTACAGTACTGTATGGAAACAACATAGAAAGAAGGGATAGATCTAAACAGTGTACAGTACTGTATGGAAACAACATAGAAAGAAGGGAATCTCAACAGTGTACAGTACTGTATGGAAACAACATAGAAAGAAGGGAATCTCAACAGTGTACAGTACTGTATGGAAACAACATAGAAAGAAGGGATAGATCTAAACAGTGTACAGTACTGTATGGAAACAACATAGAAAGAAGGGAATCTCAACAGTGTACAGTACTGAATGGAAACAACATAGAAAGAAGGGATAGATCTCAACAGTGTACAGTACTGTATGGAAACAACATAGAAAGAAGGGATAGATCTAAACAGTGTACAGTACTGTATGGAAACAACATAGAAAGAAGGGAATCTCAACAGTGTACAGTACTGTATGGAAACAACATAGAAAGAAGGGATAGATCTAAACAGTGTACAGTACTGTATGGAAACAACATAGAAAGAAGGGATAGATCTAAACAGTGTACAGTACTGTATGGAAACAACATAGAAAGAAGGGAATCTCAACAGTGTACAGTACTGTATGGAAACAACATAGAAAGAAGGGATAGATCTCAACAGTGTACAGTACTGTATGGAAACAACATAGAAAGAAGGGATAGATCTAAACAGTGTACAGTACTGTATGGAAACAACATAGAAAGAAGGGAATCTCAACAGTGTACAGTACTGTATGGAAACAACATAGAAAGAAGGGATAGATCTAAACAGTGTACAGTACTGTATGGAAACAACATAGAAAGAAGGGATAGATCTAAACAGTGTACAGTACTGTATGGAAACAACATAGAAAGAAGGGAATCTCAACAGTGTACAGTACTGTATGGAAACAACATAGAAAGAAGGGAATCTCAACAGTGTACAGTACTGTATGGAAACAATATAGAAAGAAGGGATAGATCTAAACAGTGTACAGTACTGTATGGAAACAACATAGAAAGAAGGGATAGATCTAAACAGTGTACAGTACTGTATGGAAACAACATAGAAAAAATGGATAGATCTAAACAGTGTACAGTACTGTATGGAAACAACATAGAAAGAAGGGAATCTCAACAGTGTACAGTACTGTATGGAAACAACATAGAAAGAAGGGATAGATCTAAACAGTGTACAGTACTGTATGGAAACAACATAGAAAGAAGGGAATCTCAACAGTGTACAGTACTGAATGGAAACAACATAGAAAGAAGGGATAGATCTAGACAGTGTACAGTACTGTATGGAAACAACATAGAAAGAAGGGATAGATCTAAACAGTGTACAGTACTGTATGGAAACAACATAGAAAGAAGGGATAGATCTAAACAGTGTACAGTACTGTATGGAAACAACATAGAAAGAAGGGATAGATCTAAACAGTGTACAGTACTGTATGGAAACAACATAGAAAGAAGGGAGGGACAGTACTGTATGGAAACAACATAGAAAAAATGGATAGATCTAAACAGTGTACAGTACTGTATGGAAACAACATAGAAAAAATGGATAGATCTAAACAGTGTACAGTACTGTATGGAAACAACATAGAAAGAAGGGAATCTCAACAGTGTACAGTACTGTATGGAAACAACATAGAAAGAAGGGATAGATCTAAACAGTGTACAGTACTGTATGGAAACAACATAGAAAGAAGGGATAGATCTAAACAGTGTACAGTACTGTATGGAAACAACATAGAAAGAAGGGATAGATCTAAACAGTGTACAGTACTGTATGGAACCAACATAGAAAGAAGGGATAGATCTAAACAGTGTACAGTACTGTATGGAAACAACATAGAAAGAAGGGAATCTCAACAGTGTACAGTACTGTATGGAAACAACATAGAAAGAAGGGAATCTCAACAGTAACAGTGTACAGTACTGTATGGAAACAACATAGAAAGAAGGGAATCTCAACAGTGTACAGTACTGAATGGAAACAACATAGAAAGAAGGGATAGATCTAGACAGTGTACAGTACTGTATGGAAACAACATAGAAAGAAGGGATAGATCTAAGCAGTGTACAGTACTGTATGGAAACAACATAGAAAGAAGGGATAGATCTCAACAGTGTACAGTACTGTATGGAAACAACATAGAAAGAAGGGATAGATCTAAACAGTGTACAGTACTGTATGGAAACAACATAGAAAGAAGGGATAGATCTAAACAGTGTACAGTACTGTATGGAAACAACATAGAAAGAAGGGATAGATCTAAACAGTGTACAGTACTGTATGGAAACAACATAGAAAGAAGGGAATCTCAACAGTGTACAGTACTGTATGGAAACAACATAGAAAGAAGGGAATCTCAACAGTGTACAGTACTGTATGGAAACAACATAGAAAGAAGGGATAGATCTAAACAGTGTACAGTACTGTATGGAAACAACATAGAAAGAAGGGAATCTCAACAGTGTACAGTACTGTATGGAAACAACATAGAAAGAAGGGATAGATCTAAACAGTGTACAGTACTGTATGGAAACAACATAGAAAGAAGGGATAGATCTAAACAGTGTACAGTACTGTATGGAAACAACATAGAAAGAAGGGAATCTCAACAGTGTACAGTACTGTATGGAAACAACATAGAAAGAAGGGAATCTCAACAGTGTACAGTACTGTATGGAAACAATATAGAAAGAAGGGATAGATCTAAACAGTGTACAGTACTGTATGGAAACAACATAGAAAGAAGGGATAGATCTAAACAGTGTACAGTACTGTATGGAAACAACATAGAAAAAATGGATAGATCTAAACAGTGTACAGTACTGTATGGAAACAACATAGAAAGAAGGGAATCTCAACATTGTACAGTACTGAATGGAAACAACATAGAAAGAAGGGATAGATCTAGACAGTGTACAGTACTGTATGGAAACAACATAGAAAGAAGGGAATCTCAACAGTGTACAGTACTGAATGGAAACAACATAGAAAGAAGGGATAGATCTAGACAGTGTACAGTACTGTATGGAAACAACATAGAAAGAAGGGATAGATCTAAGCAGTGTACAGTACTGTATGGAAACAACATAGAAAGAAGGGATAGATCTCAACAGTGTACAGTACTGTATGGAAACAACATAGAAAGAAGGGATAGATCTAAACAGTGTACAGTACTGTATGGAAACTACATAGAAAGAAGGGATAGATCTAAACAGTGTACAGTACTGTATGGAAACGACATAGAAAGAAGGGAATCTCAACAGTGTACAGTACTGTATGGAAACAACATAGAAAGAAGGGATAGATCTAAACAGTGTACAGTAC